CAGCTCGGTGGCCGCCCTGACCACTCAGCGGCGTGCGCAGCTTGTCGTCCGCTCAAGCAGATCTTGCTTCGTCTCGCCCGCTGCCCGCTCGTCATCTGCATCCACCACGACCCGAGAAATACTGAACGAGAGCCTCGATTCATCTTGGCCTCCGGGATTCCCTGATTGATGGACTGCGGCCTGAAATTACCGTGCCCGAGGTAGTCTACGTATCCATGTGTTCTCACTCATGTGTGCTGCTGCGTAAAGAAACACTGAAGGCCCCCCCCCCCACAAATGAACTCACCCCACCGGGAGGGACTCCCTGGAGCACACTCACAGCCCATGCGTCACTGGCCTTGCCCTGTACCTACCTTCAGTCCGCCTATTTCGTCATCCGTTCGGCTGGCCCGCCCGCCATCGCATCCGCGATTCAACTCCACTTCGACCTTCACCAGCCACAGCCGTCCTTGACTCTTGCACTTTGTATTCTATCCTCTCGTCTCCTCCCCCCGACTCGTACCTCTCCCCTCACTGTCCCTCTCTGATCGCCTATCCCACATTAACCTCTCTCGTCCGTCCCGAACCGACTCGTTCTCGCCGTGCCATTTCTGACCTCCGATCAGTCGCTTCACTGCATTGTCGCCTCATTGCGCCCCAACATTCTTGTCTTTGTTCGAGACAAATTGTGTCTTCCTTCTTCGCAGCCCCTCCAGAACACGCGAGGCGTGAAAACCCAAGCAGCGCGGTGCCCTGTCGCAGCCGTCCATCAGGCATCGCAATCGCAGCGTCCCTCCTGGCGACCGAGTACGACGACTTCTCCTGATCCCGCGAGTACAGCCTTTTACAGGCGCACAACCCGCCATCATGTCGACGATACAACAACTTAAGAACTTCATCCGACATGGTATGCCGTCTTCCGCCAAACCGTCCCGTCCTCCCCCTTCCCCCCTTCCCCCCTCTTCCCCGCTCTCTACATATTTTGGGGCGATAAGCAACCACGACGACAGCAGATCCGGGCTCCACGCGCCACAGAGTCCTGCCCACCATGTCATTTGTCTCAACCATCATTCTTGTGGAACTATACTGATCCGGTTCTCCCTTCTCTTCTCGTCCACAGGAAAGCAAGCCCGCACGAATAATTACGATGAGGCCCAACAGAAGAACAACTCCTCCCCCCCACGAGTTCCCGCCGCGCCCGCCCAGACCGAACCCGGCTTCACTGCCCAACCAGCACACGCCCCCATGGCCGACGCGTACTCTGTAGGACCCGCCGGCGACCAGAACCGCGCCGCCAAAAGCCGGTCACGCCGCAGCGCACGCCGTCGGGCCCCAGCAGAAGGTCAAGGTCAAGAAGCAGGTCGATAGTGCCGAGATCGCCAAGTTGGTCGCTGAGGAAAACGAGACCCGCGGCAAGTTCCCCAAGTACCCCGGGCTCGAGCGATGGGTCCTCCTCGAGAAGATGGGCGACGGCGCCTTCAGCAATGTCTACCGAGCCCGCGACACCACGGGTGAGCACGGCGAGGTCGGCATCAAGGTCGTGCGCAAGTACGAAATGAACAGCATGCAGGTGAGTTTGAAAACGTTGAAGGTTGCCTGCGGCGCCTTGATGATTTGCTTTCTTGCGCGCCGTGTCGTCTTGAGTTTGTTGTTGTGCGTTTCTTCTTCTTCTTCACATACCAACCTTGGGGGCGCAATTAGGGAAACGACCATTTACACCCAGACTTCAAGAAAGTCCCCAAAGCTGCAGAGGTGCGAGAAAATCTCTCTTATCTCCTTACGTTTCTTTCCATCTAGCGAGGCATCCCCACCATGACTACTGTTGCTTTGACCCAGCCTGTCATTCTTTCTTTTCCTTTTCTCCCGGGGATGCCTCCAAGGCCACGAATAGCAAGACTAACCCGACAAACAGAGGGCGAATATCCTCAAGGAAGTCCAGATCATGCGCCAACTTGATCACCCCAACATTATCAAGCTCATCGACTTTTCCGAGTCCCGCCAGTATTACTACATCATCCTCGAGCTAGCCCCGGGTGGCGAACTCTTCCATCAGATTGTCCGCCTCACCTACTTCAGCGAAGAGCTCTCAAGGCATGTCATCGTGCAGGTTGCCAAGGCGCTCGAGTATCTCCACGAGGAACGAGGTGTTGTTCATAGGTATGTACTTTCGTGCTCATCACACGCGATTCTCCACATTCTTCCCACCGCATCGCGCCCTCTTTGCCACGTTGTTGCTCCGTGGCGAGGCCACGAGTGAGACGTCATGTTCTAGTCCTCTGCTTGCATCTGACGTCATGACCAATCCCCTGCGTCGATGGTGTGCTGACATGAGCTCAATTTGCAGGGATATCAAGCCTGAGAATATTCTGTTTGACCCAGTGCCGTTCATGCCGTCCAAGACCCCCAAGCCCAAGCAGCCCGGTGACGAAGACAAGGTGGATGAGGGCGAGTTCGTTCCCGGCTATGGCGCTGGCGGCATTGGCCGCATCAAGATTGCCGACTTTGGCCTCTCCAAGGTTGTGTGGGACACCCAGACCATGACGCCTTGCGGCACCGTCGGCTACACCGCGCCAGAGATCGTTAAGGATGAGCGGTACTCCAAGTCTGTGGACATGTGGGCCCTCGGCTGTGTCCTGTACACGCTGCTCTGCGGTTTCCCCCCTTTCTACGACGAGAGCATCGAGGTGTTGACCGAGAAGGTGGCCAAGGGACAGTTCACGTTCCTGTCACCGTGGTGGGGATGATATCTCGAAGAGCGCACAAGATCTCATTTCCCATCTTCTGGCCGTGATCCCGAGAAGAGGTTCACCATTACCGAGTTCCTCGCTCACCCCTGGATCCGCGGATCCGGACCCACGCCGCGCGATGAGGGACCGCGAGCGTCGAGCGCTTCGTGCTTTCGACC